CACATCTCGAATTGGGCAACTTTTTCAGTCTCTCTGGTTGTCTGTTAGGTGGGGTACTGACTATGCTTATCCCTTCTGAGTTCTTGTTGAACTTGGAAAATGTCAAACAGAGAAAAATAGAAGAGTAAACACCCATTTATCCTCCTTCCAAAATTTGTTCAAAATTGCCTTTGTAGGTTTTTTTTTTTGTTTTTTTTTGTTTTTTTTTTTTATTTCTAGGAGAGAGAGAGAGACACAGTGTGAGCAGGGGAGGGTCAGAGAGAGAGGGAGTCACAGACTGAAACAGGCTCCAGGCTCTGAGCTGGCAGTCAGCACAGAGCCCGACGCGGGGCCCGAACCCACGAACCGCGAGATCATGACCTAAGCGAAAGTGGGACGCCCAACCCACTAAGCCACCCAGGCGCCCCTTTGTAGGTTTTTAAAAAATTGCTTTATTATTGTTTTCCTTTTTTTTTTTAAGTTTAATGTTTATTTTTGAGAGAGAGAGAGAGAGAACACACACACACAGATGGGGGAGAGACAGAGAGAGAGGGAGACACAGAATCTGAAACAGGCTCCAGGGCTCTGAGCTGTCAGCACAGAGCCTGATGCAGGGCTTGAACCCACAAACTTGTGAGTTCATGATCTAGGTGGAAGTCAGACAATCAACCAACTGAGCCACCCAGATGCCCCTATTATTGTTTTTCTAATAAAAAATATGTCTACTTAAGAGAATTGAGGCATAAAGAGCAGAAAGATCACTTGTCATGTGGCCACTCAGAAATCCTCACTGTTGACCTTCTGTTTTATGAGCCTTCCACAAGTGTCCCGTCCCTACACCACATGTGTGCACACGCGTGTGTAAGATGGGGCAGATGGGATTGCATCACACATCATTTTGGAACTTTCTCCCACTTCACAGAGCGTGGATCTCCTTCCTCGTAATAGTTGCACGTGTGCAGTGTCAGTACATAATTGCACTGGTGTATTTAACAGACTTCCTGCTGATGACATTGTCGTTTGTCGTTTGTTAGGTGAGCGTGACGAGTTCTGGGGTAAGGACGTAGGACTTGTGCGCATGTGTCTGCGTGTTTTAGGGTAAAAGCCTGCGTCTTGAGTTACTTCATCAAAGGGCATGTGATTTTAACCAGATTCTAAAATACACCTTCAAGACCAGCTAGCTGATATAATAAGAGTGATCATTTTCCCCAGCTCTTATAAATGCCAGGTAGGCAAAAAAATTACTTAGGATTTCAATTTGCATTTTTTTGAACGAGGGCTGAATATGCTTTCTGTTTGGTGGCTCGTGTTTGCTGTACACACGCGCTTTCCGTGTTCTCCCGTCAGAGTTTAAAATCGTAACGAATTTATATAAACCGTCTCGCCAGGCTTATGTTCTCAGGTTTATTATGTCACAACATTTTCTGAATTTCTTGGGCAGATCAGAGAAGCTTTAAAAATCCCATGTGGTCAGACTCGTTTCCTGTGACCTCTGCATTTTGGCTCCAAGAAAGAGAACATTCCCGCTCCGGAATTATAAAAGATTGTTCAATTTTAAAGTATTTCTTTGGATGTCTTTGTTTCATTTAGAAATGTTACCTATTTACAGTTTGTATCTGTTTGGAATTTATTTGGTAATAAGATGCAAGGGAGCTCATCTTAACTTTCCCTTCATTCCCTTCTCTCCTGTCCCACGACTGAAATGTCACCTTAGCCCACCCTGAATTGTCCTCATGGCCGCTCCTGACATGGTTTTCCTCCTGCCTACTTCTGAAGTGAGCTCCCTGGGGACAGGGACACAGTAGGTGCTCAGGGAGCACTGCATGGGCGGAATCGGACAGGGCTGGTGTATATGAGGCGCGTGGCCTGCAGCTGGGCACACAGTCAGACCTCAGTTTGGTGGCAGCTGTCCCTGCGCTCTCCTGTGCTAACAGAACGAACTTGGAGGCCCGCCTTACCATGCACTGTCAGCTCACTTCTTTCTTTTGAAACATGTGTTTGGCTTAAACATACCCACTGTCCACTTTCTCAGAAGGACTTGAGGCCGCTCGGCCTGGTGGCAGAGCCCATGTGCTGATAGCCGGACCCGTGCCAAGTCCGCTTGGTCTGTCCCTTACCTTCCCGGTGTCCCAGCAGTAAACCGGGGGCACCTGGTCCTTCCCACGGTGTTGGGGGAGAGATTAAACTCATAGGCACAGTAGGAGGGGTAGTTACGGGTCTTCTGTTGGTGCTGAGACCTGGCCTTGGTAACCGGGATGGATTCATGGTGGTCAAAGAGCACACAGCTCCGATCTTTCTGCTTAGGAGGGATGGGAACAGGCAGAGGGTAGGTTGGACTCTCGTATGTTTGGGGTGATAGAAGGATTTAGGTTCTTGGGAGAACAGGATGTTCCCAAAGTATGAGAGCTGCCGTGTGAACACTTCCGTAGGGGTGACCACGTCGGCAGAGGGCTCAGCTGGACACAGTCTTTGCCCCGCGGTTCGCTGGCCTGGCGCCGGGTCACCCTCCAGGGCGCCCTGCTTCCTGTCCGTGAAGTGAGGACAGCTCGTGTCCGAGACGGTGGATGTGTGGACAGATGAGGTGCCTGGAGTGGCGTCCAGAGCGGAGTAGATGCTTGATCAACACAGCGTCTTTAGCTGATCAACACAGCGTCTTTAGCTGAGATGGTGGAGACGGCTTGTAGAAGACGGAGTGACAGTCCTCACGTGGATGCTTCGTGTTTTTCCCGTAAGGCACTTGGCGTCGAGTTACAGATCAGTGGAGGTGTTTCTACCTAGAGTGAGTGTGGACACCGAGCTGTTGTTTAATTCACCTGTTGATTCGTTCCTTCCACGCTTGGCCAGCAGCAGACACAAGCCCTGCCCGGTGATGTGCACGAGCTGGCGGGAGAGGCAGTGACTGGTCAGAGCATCACAGAATACGTAGAGTCACAGCTGGTGAGGAGACACACACACACGGGGCAGTTTTCATGTGTTCTCAGGGTTTGGTGGTGTTTTAATTTTTTTAAATGTATGTTTATTTTTGAGAGAGAGGCAGAGTGTGAGTGGGGGAGGGGCACAGAGAGAGAGGGAGACCGAATCGGAAGCAGCTCCAGGCTCCGAGCTGTCAGCACGGAGCCCGACGTGGGGCTCGAACTCCTGAACCGTGAGACCATGACCTGAGCCGAAGCCGGAGGCTTAACCGACTGAGCCCCCCAGGCGCCCCTCTCAGGGCTTTTGTAAAGTGCTCAGGTCGCGTGGCCAAATGTCCTGACAAGCTCTTGGAAGAACCACGTGTCCACGGAGCAGGATGGCAGTGGGCACTGGGGTGATTCACGTCTCACAAGTGTTTCCTCCACTCCTGCTTGTATTTATGACACGGCATCTGTAGTGTCGTTGGCCAAAGACGGCGGGGCAGAGGGGACATCTCTGATGTGTGGGCAACGTTTATTAAAACAATTTTTACAGGAAAATTTTCTTTTTACGGATCACAGGGGTGGCTCGGGGACCATTTCTCAGAGAAACAGTCCTTTAACTGATGGTTGGAGTTTCACAGGAGTCTATTTAAAAAAATCTTTTGTGGGTGAGGTTCTTGGAGTTTGCAGTGAAAATAAAGAATCATCTTGTTAGTCACTGGCGTGAGGGTAGTTGCATGTGTGTTTTGTACTTAATCCTCAAGTGTACGTATGTGTCACACATTCTGTGCACGCCGTGTTGCTCACTAAAACGAGGTTAAAATATTTTTAGACTGTTACCCGTTCAACCACAGAAGCCGAGCGAGGCATTTTCGTGGCAATCCTCCTGCCGACTTGGCTCGCCTCCCCTCCCCCGGCCCTGGGCACCGGCCAGGGCCACACGGTCACCCGGGAGCACCTGCCTTGCCCAGCGCCGTGTGCCCTCGCCCCCAAAGCGACCCCCCACCCCCACCCGGGGTTGCCTCTCGGGGCCGTTTCCTTGGGTATTGCCAAGATCCAGCCTGCGACAGATTGGAATTTCCCAGAGGGTTTTTACTGAGAGGAAGAAATGAAGACTTACAGGGACTGTAGCCCATGTGAAGGTGACACATTTCTTTTTGAATTTTTTTTAATGTTTTATTTATGCCTGAGAGAGAGCGTGAGCAGGGGAGGGTCAGAGAGAGAGGGAGACACAGAATCTGGAACAGGCTCCGGGCTCCGAGCTGGCAGCACAGGGCCCAACGCGGGGCTCGAACCCCCTAACGTGAGATCATGACCTGAGCCGGTCGGACGCTTAACGACGGAGCCCCCAGGCGCCCTGAAGGTGGCACATTTCTGGAGAAGCTCTGTGACTCTTTGGTTGGCTGCCTTCCTTGCAGGGCCGTCCCTCCGCCACCTTGTCTGCGAGCTGCCCAGGTTTTCGGCTGGGTCCTCGCCCTCCTCATCCTCACTCGGGGGGAGGCGGTGGGCACACGTGCCCGAGGGACAGGAGTGGAAGCGAGTGCCTCCCTAGGGTGTGGACACATCTTCCTGCTGGAGGAAGGGAAGGGGTCACTTCCCGGGGGACCCCCTGTCAGGGTCTGCATCGACCTTGGGGTGTCCTGAGCCCACTGCCCTCTGGGCTGTCCACCTAGCGGGGCCAGCGGAGTCCCAGGCACAGACACCTGGTTCCGGCGGCCTGGGCAGTGACCCCGCACCCCTGCCAGCCTCCGCCCACCTCAGGGACGCCCCCACCCGCGCAGGTCGGGGGGAGGGGGCCTGGCGCCAGGGCACTGACAAGGTGTGCACGCAACCCGGACCGCGTCCCAGCCGGGCTCTTCTCGGCCGTGGTGCCCCACTGGGCTGTCCGCACACAAGTACCTCGTCTCGGCGTTGGGCCAGAGGAAAACGCATCTCCCTGGGAGCTTGGCCGAGGCCCGGTTTTGTTTTTGTTTTTGCTCACAGCTGGCTAGTAGGTCGCCCGGGTCTAACACTGCAGTTGTGCAGAGAGTGTGTCGTTTTATTTTACCCCCAGCTGACAGCAGCAGATGTTCCTGTCTGCATTCTCAGCGCTTCATTCTGAGAATGCCTCCATTCATTTCACCAGGAAGGCTGCCGTGACTGTGTGGAACGTAGCTCAGTTGGCCGGGGCGGCCCTACGTGGGACCCGCCGTGTGGGCAACAGGTGGATCCGCCGCCCTCTGTCCTGGGGGCGGCAGGAAGGGCTGGTCCCACGGCATCTGCGTTCCGGGCTGTGCCCAGCGACTGTCAGAGCCCGTCCGTCCTTTGCTAGCCTGGGGTGAAAGCAGGCTGTGCGGGAGACCCCCGGCCCCGCGGGTGGTGGCGCGGCCCTGCTCAGCCACCGCCTGGCCGGGACCCTTGGCCTGAGCTCCTGTTGCCTCTCAGGAGCTGTCCAGAAGCCTGAGGGGGCTGACGCCTGGGTCGGCTTGGCCCACGTTGTGGCTCAGAAGGGCTGGGCGGCCTTGAGCTATTTTTGTCACTTTCTTTTGCCTCCATAGTTTCTGGCCAAGGCCCCACGTCGTGCACGCGGAATTCTAAGAGGAAAATAGAGACTACATGATGTCGGGTGCTCGTGCTCACTTCAAGGTTCTGTATGATAGCTTCGTGGTATTTGGTGGCAAGTCTTTAAATACCCTGGTCCCCATGGGCCAGACTCCCTCCAGTGCCCTGGGCAGCCCCACGGCGAGTGCACATGGAGACATAGCTCGGCTAACAGGAGTCCGAGCCTTTGGTTCGCTTGCCAGTAACCAAAGCTGCTTAATTGAAGAGCCAGACTCTGTATTTATTTAGTGACTCTGTGATATAGATTTTTCTAGACGAACATTTAAGTCCCCCAGGAGCGAAGGGTCACACGGGTCTTTTTGTTTCTGGAAGTGCTATACTCCTAATACATACGATGTAAATGGGAGGAACACCGTCTCGGGGGGGTGGGGGGGCTGTGGCAGGGCAAGAAGTCTCAGCCCCCCCCCCAGTGTCTTTTCTCCCCGCCCCCACCCCCACGCAGAGCCTCCAGACCTCGGTCGGTCTGTGACTCAGAGCAGGTTGGGGCAGAGGAAGGGTGAGTGACTCTCTCCCCTCTGTTTCCACGGTGACTTCCGGCCCCAAATTCTGCTATTTATTATGTGTCATCTGTGGTTGGGGATGTTGCTCTTGGCCTGGTGGCGTGAGCCAGACGGGCTGGGGGGGAGGGGGGCCGCGGCTGCAGCGAGCCCTCATCTGCCTAATGGGTCACGCAGGGTTTTTGCAAATTCTGTTCCAGGCGCTTAGGCCTTTAGAAAATAGCAGAAATGAAGGGCTTCTCTGAACAGTCATGCTTGTCCCTGCTTGCTTTCCATGCTGGCCGCCAGACAGCCTTGCCGGGGACGACTCCGTCCTTCCCCCCTCGTACCCCCAGGTGAACAAGCAGAGCCGTGAGGTCCTGAGCCCCCACGTAGCTTTGGCCCTGGGACACAGCTCGGCCTCAGTTTCAAACACGAGGCTGTGCTGTGAGGCCGTAGCAGGGTGTCTGGTTTCCGATTCCCAGCTCGGAGCCCCTGCCTGGCTGGCGGCCTGTGAGCTGGTTGTCATGGCAACCAGTAAATTGTGAGCTCACATCACGTCAGGGACGGACGCGGCGCCGGGGCGGCCATGGAGACAGAGAGCCCAGTTCTCGGGCCGCCGGGCGCAGCGCCGTCAGCAGGACCCTCCCCGTCTGCAGGCCCGCAGGCCCGCCCACCGCCACGGCCACAGACACGTCTTCTCTCAGAGACGGGGCCCCCTGTCCCCTTAGAGCAGGCGGCTCGCAGGCATTCGGGGTCACGAACCTCTTTGTCAGTCTGGTGAAGGTTATGGGTGGATCCCTTTCTAGAAGAGTGTTTTTCAAGGCACAGAACGAAATCTGTAGAATGACCAGGAAAGCCGGTCAGGTGGAAACACAGCTATCAAAATATGGAAACAGCTGTCTTCACATTCCCTAACAGGTCTAGCAGCGGCCGTAATAAGCATCATGATTTTGAAGTAGCAGTGAGTTTGAACTTGCTCTGTGGTGTCGGTAGTGGCCTCTATGTGACACGAGCGTCCCCGTCTCCACGTGTCACAGGTGATGTGGTTCGTGTCCGTGTTCATAACGGAAGATGTGCTCCATGTCCTGGAGATCCGTCCACTCTCACTGACCCTCTGCATTGGCCGTGTGGATCCTGAGACCTCGGGGGTGCGTGCTCACCATCGGGGTGCTGGCCCAGGGCACTTGGCCTGGTCACGACCGGTCCTGGGACCACTGGTGGCCGGACTCAGGCCTCAGGAAGCCAGACCAGCGGCCCAGATGAAGGCCGAGGCAGAGGGCAGGGAGGCTGACACACGCTGCCCTCCGAACCTGCCTTCCACGCTTGCTGCGTGTGGCCGCGTGTCCTGGGGTGCAGAGGGGCCTCGAAGCTCGCTTGTTTCTCAAGAAGGCAGGACATGAAAAAAGAAAACAGAAGTCTGGTGTAAACCAGTGGGGAAGGAGGTGGAGCTGGGGTCGGGGTGCTGAGGCGTGGGGAGTAGTGCCTCATTCCTGTAGGGCCTGGCCTCCTGGGTTCTCCCAGCGGGCGTGCGCACGGCTCCTGGCCGGGTGCTGGGGCTGATGGCCACGTGTCCTGGAGGGCACTCAGCGTGGTATTTGACAGAGCCCAGGGCACCCCAAGGCCTGGCTTGCTGTGTGGGGGACCTGAGCCGTGAAGTGATGGCGTGCCAGTGGCCAGGAGGCCTCTGACCTGCTGGGCAGGGCCGCAGGGAGGGCAGAGATGATGGACTGTGGCAGGGGGCCGGGTGAGGCCGGCAGCAGCCCTGCGAACAGGGAGGTGGAGGGAGTGCGCTGTGAGCACCGTCCTGTAGATCTTCAGGCCTGGAATCTGGGCTCAGACCCCAGTCCCGTTCCTGCTCTCTTGAGAACCCTGTGCACCTGAAGGGCAGGGTCCGTGCATGGCCGGGGCTACTGCCTGCAGCCTGGGGCCAGACAGAGGAGATGAACTGGTCAGCGAGTCCATTGTTCTCCAGGCTGGGAGCCTGGATCCTAGGCCAGCGAGGGGTGAAGATGGATCCAGAAGGCTGTGTTTTGGGGGGGAGGGGATGTTGGGAGGGCACAGGGGGAAGGCAGATGTGGAGGGCGGCTGTGGGAGGCGCTGGCTCGGGCAGTGGGGGGTGGAGGGCTGTGCCCCAAGCCCTCCTGTGGCCCCTGCTCCTCTCGAGGCTGTAGGAAGAGGTGTTCCTACGTGGTGGTCAGCACAGCACTTCATTTTTTAAGTGGAAATTTGGAACCCACTGAAATGCATCAGCAGGAGACGGCTCGCTGAGTGGTGTGGTCGTTACAGGCTCATGGTGGAGAATCGCATAGCACGACGTTAAATGGAAGCGGCCGGGCACAAACTGCGTGCTTGTGTGTTAGCACGTGTGCACCGCTGTGTCACATGGGCCTGTAGAAGAGGGATGATCTCCGGCGGCCTCTATTTCTTCGTATTTTTCTTTATCTTCTGTAATAGAAACCACAGTAGACGAAAGCAGTCGCCCAGTGTGTGCGTACCTGCAGGCAGGGACACAAGACACTTGTGTTCAGGGGCCATCACCTACAGGTGCTGCTTTAGAGAGTGCTCGGTGATCTCCAGCCGGGTGAAGAGGGCAGGTGAGGGGCTGGGGTCCCGGGTGGCCCCTCCCCCACAAGCTTTGGTTATCTGGTCCTTGAGGAGACAGCGTGCCTGTGAGATTTTTCTGGAAGGGAGCCACCTTCTCCTCTCGGAGGGGCTCATAGCCGTGCGTGAGGTCTTGTTGCAGGGCCCTGCCCGTGCGGCCAGCCGTGTCTCCTCTCCCCCAGGGACTGAAACGTGCCCCGCTCCGGCCACAGTGCTCGTCGTATACTGAACGGGTGCCAGGATCTCTCCGGGCCCGCGGTTCTGCGGCCTCCCAGCTCCGGGGGAAGAGTGGCAGTGACCATGCGGGCTGAAGCCTGCGCCCGGGCCTCACGCTGGGGTAGGGCATCGCGCTCTCGCTCCACGGCAGGCCCCATCCCCGCCGCCCAAACCCGCCTGCAGCACCTTCTGGGCACGGCGGGCACCGGAGCCCTCCCGGCCCCTCCCCTGCGTCTGTCCCGTGCCTGCAGGTGTCGCCCCAGCTCCTGCACTGTGAGCCCAGAGCCGCTGCCCTCCTCGGCCTGCCTGCTGGGGGTACTTAGGCATAAGTACCCACAGCAACATAGCTCCTGCTGCTCACTGAGGCCCCACCTGGGACCTGGCCACCCGGCTTGCCTGTCCTTACCGCTGGGTGGAGGGTCTGTCGCCCCTGCCACACTGAAGGGAGTGAGTTGGATGTAAGCAGGGCCCCGAGAGAAAGTTCTTAGCAGGGCCGCGGCTGAGGCTTGTCCACGCGGAGGCCTGTGCGTGTAAGCCCTGAGCTGCTGCGGCGCCTCCTTCCCAGCCCCCCGTTGGAGAACGTGAGGCAAACCTTCACTTGTCCCCTCTGGTCACCCGCCTCTCATCCTGGGTGCCAGCCCTTCCCTCGTTTCTGTCCCTTATGGAGGGTGGGGGGGGACGGGAGCTCCCCCTGCCGAGGGGGCTGCCCCGGGACCCTCTGCTGACAAGTTGGTGACAGTCTGGACCTTGTGGGGGGGGTTTCTTTAGGACCAGCGCCGTCCGGCAGAAGCCTCGCTTCAAACGCAAGGGGAAGCCCGCCTTCCGTGGCTTCTGTAAAACACACCCAAACTTCCTGCTCGCTGCGCCCCAGTTACTCATACAGGAAGTCGATTACTCATTCACTACGCTTCCCTTTCACTGATTGAGATGCGGCTCTAAAAATGGATCTTTGAAACACGTGTGCTCACTTTTCAGCAGGAGCCCCGCGCACACTTAGTGGCCCGTGTTACCTGACGCCGTCAGACTCGGGCTCCCTGCCCCCAGGACCCGCTCTGGTCGGGAGTGGGGGCTGGCAGATGAGCCAGTGACAGATGGACAGCTGTCCACACCCCCCCCACACCCCCGCCCCCCGCAGCTGAGGTGTCTTCCAGCTGTGACCATCTGGGGCTCCCCGGTGAGAAAGGAGGGGCCGCCATCCTGTCCCCCCCCCCCACGGGGTCCTGCCCCCCAGTGCAGAGGTAGGACCGACCAATGCAGATAGATGGGGGACGAGGCCGCTTGCGGGGGGCGGAGGGTGCAGGCCTGGGCGGCTTTCGCAGGAAGGTGGCACCGGATTTCTCAGTGAAGGATGGAGAAGATTGAGGGGGGGACTCGCGGTGGGGACGATGGCCCAGGCTGGCCAGCATGAGCACAGCCGGGGAGGAGGTGGGGTCTTCCTGCAGCGCGGGGCTGAGGGCCAGGTCCCTGCTGTCGGGCAGGCAGAGCCACGGCCGGCTCGCGGGGTCTCTCTGGTGAAGTTCCTCCCAGATCCTGCTCCTCCTGGGCTGTTACTCGGACTCTCACCTACTCCATGGATGGTGACGGTGCCCACGGCCACCTCCAGAGCATGTGCTCACCAGTACCCGGCTTGGGGGCCCCCCCCCCCCCCGCCGCCTGTGGCGTATCTGCAGTCAGACTCTGTTCCTCCTGCAGAACTGGTGAGGGGAAGGAGGCCGCGGGCCGGGCGAGCTTGGACAGTTAATCTCCAGGCGATACTGGAATGAGTTTTCAGAGTCATCTGTGTCAGCTGAGATGAAGGTGTGTGTGCTCTTCCGCATTTGGTTTTCAGGCCGGGACGTTATCCACCTGTTGGGGCCAAGAGCTGACGTCCCGCGAGGGTGTCCTTACCCCCACGTGCCATGCCGTCCCTTCCCCACGCGCTGGTGCTGCCGGGCGCTGGCACCGGGTCCTCTCTGGCATTTGCTTTGTGAGTCCTGCTTGACCTGGCCCTCGACAGAGCCTGACTCCCCGCGAAGTAGGAGTGAAAATGGATCCGAGATCTCTCCTCGGTTTGAGGCTGGGCAGGAGGGCGTAAAACTCGGGGGCCTCGGGGCGCCTGGGGGGCTCGGTCGGTTCCTGTCAGACTCTTGGTTTTGGCTCAGGTCATTATCTCGCGGTCCGTGGGTTTGAGCCCCACATCAGGATCTGTGCTGATGGCACAGAGCCTGCTTGGGATTCTCTGTCTCCTCCTCACGGCCCCTCCCCCACTTGTGCTCACTTTCTCTCCAAATAAATAAATAAACTTAAAGAAAAAAAAACCTGCTGGGGCCTCTCCCTAGTCTGCTCTGAAAACTGTTAGAGCTTTAACTTGTGATTGTGTATTCTACACGCCTTCCCATGAGCTCTCAGTATTTTCATTATTAAAAGCTAGAAGCAAAGAAGAAATATCCTGTGAAATTATATATTTCATGAATATGTTACCGTTGCGGTTTTTTCCCACTGCTTTCATTAATACAAGTCAGTAACACAAACCCGTGGACAGTTTTCCGTGTTTGCAGTGGCAAATGTTGTAGGAGTAACTCGCACTGTGGAGGTGGAAGAAACCGGCTCGGCCAGAGAAATGGGCTCTCGGTGTATCTGTGGCTGCGGTTAGAGTTGAGGCTGGTAAAATCACCACGTGTTAAGACGGGGTGGATGGCTGCTGGTGGCAGGCGGAAGTCTTGACTCAGGGTTGGGCCCCTCCGCTCCCTGTTGCTGTGTGAGCCATGAACAGCTTCGCTTTTCAGAGGGAGCACCTCTGCTCCGTGTCTGTGACGCACAGTTACGTATGTGAAAGCCCCTTGTAGCCTGGAAAGCCCTCAGTGCAGATTGTGTTCTGGTTCCTGGAATGGACCATGGGCAGCAGATGCCGTTGGCTCTGTGGCTGGTTGTTTCCTGGGTCACAGATGTCACTTCTGTGGTTTAACTGTGCTTCTGTATTCTCAAGACTCCCCTCGCTGGCTGCACGTCTGCCTGGGCGCAGGGACCATGTGCTCGCGGGCTCTGTTCGGGGACAGAGCTGGGGGACAGTGGAGCCCACTCCCGGACGTGGTCAGGGCCCATGGTGTGAAGGATCGCGTGTGGGCTGCGCTTACGAGGAGTAAACGCGCCCAATCCATTCGATGACACTCACACGCTGTCCTGGGCTCCGTGCTAAATGTGGAGCCTGCTTCAGAGTCTCTCTCTCTTCTTCTCCTTCTCTCCCCTGCTCACTCTTTCTCGCTCTCCAAAAAAAAAAGTGCGGCAGTAACTCACTGGTTGTGTATTTGCTGTGTACACTGTAGCTCCTTCTTTGAACATGAGAGACTAGAACGACGGGGCGGTTGTTAATCATCAGAAAAGGAGACAATGCCAACAGGGTACCCCCCACACGTAACTAAAGGGACCAGAATCACCAAGGTGGTGTCCCGCCTTCGTTCCTGTGCAAGCCGCTAATTTAATCAAGGAACGTTCCCTCCCCCCACCCCCACTCCTAAAGACAGTAAAAAGACATTTCACCCCAACTCCAATTTTCAGCAGTTCTGTTAATAAAGTTCAAACTGCGGCTTAGGAGAAAGCCAATTAAATATTTTTCCAATAACAGAATACTCTTAATTTTTGCTCACATGTCTTTTTTTTTTAATCCTCCTCATTAAAAAAAAAAAATTCCACATACTTCAATCCCTCCTGACATTTACTGGAAACAAAACTGTGCTACTAAAAATAAGCTGTTTTTATGGCATTTCTGACCTAGAAAAACTCAAGAGTCCTCAAATTATTTGTTTTCTGTCTTGTTTTCGATGAGAGAATGAACATGTTTAAGGGTTACTAATCTCACTGACTCACACCATCCGGAAATCTCCAGTCTGTCTCACTGAGCACCTATGACCCCCGAGCACGTACGTAAAGATGTGTACATCACATGCCGTCCCTGCCACAGACAGGCCTGGTGCCCCGTTAGTGCTGCGGAAGGCGCTGGGGACCAACGAGACGGAAAGTGTTCTCCGGCAGCCCACGTGTCCCCTCCCAGGACAGCTTGTGAGTGTCACTGAACGGGCGTGTGCATGTGCATTGATGTCAGGAAGGCTCAGCTTTCTTGTCTCTGGAGGTTGTAAACATCTTCCTCCCAGACTTTGGTGGCCCGTTGTAAAGGACGCTTTCTGAGTCCCTGACTTTGGTGGCCCGTTGTAAAGGACGCTTTCTGACTTTGGCAGCTGTCCCTTCCGTGTCTGAACCCCGGCGTCCAGAGGTTGAGCGGGTGTGTCTGGCCTCTCCTTGTGCACCGGCTGCTCAGAGACCCCGGGACAGGCAGATCGTCTTCCCCAAGTCGCTCTGGTCCCGCTGGAGTGACAGCCCGGTGGGATGACAGCGCAGTGTAGCACACTGTCCTGGAAATGTGAGCGGGGCAAGCTAGAGGCCGGAGAAGCAGGGAGACCTGAAGAGTGAGGGCTGGTCCTCAAGGGCTGGTGGGGGTCTTGGAGCGGCGAAGACCAGGCCGAGGCCAGACCCTGCAGACGTGAGGGCTAATTGTGGGGGCTGGCTGTGGGGCAGCCACGGAGGGACTTGGACCCACGGAGATCGGACCCTGTGGCGTGGAGTGTGGAAAGTGGGGTGAAGGAGGTGCCTGGACGCCGAGACCCCATCAGGGGGCTTCCCTAACTGCCTGTGCAGGGTGAAATGGGGCCCTGAGCTGGCGCAGAGAGGGATGGATAGGAACGGATGGTTCCAGTGGAAGCAGGTAAAATGAGGAAGTTGTGTGGTTGGCTGTGCAGATCGTGTGGGAAAGGTCATGGTAGTGGGTGGGCCACGGCCACGCTGATGGAGGCATGAATTGGGGGGAGAGTGGCTTAATTGTGGATGGAGTTTGAATAGTCTGCGAGCCTCTATGAGAGAGGAAGGGGGCTGGGTAGAGAAAATCCAGCATTCCAAGATCTGGGCGAGGAGAGGACCAAGGAAGGAAGAGTTGGAAAGGGAGGACATGGTGCCATGTCACTCGCCACCAAGGGACAGAGGGCCCCTGGAGCCTGGCAATTAGGGGCTCTCTGTGATGACTGGAGGCTGGGGAGGGGCAGGGGTGTGAGAGTCAGGGTTTCCCTGGGAACAGGCGAGCACAGGGAAGGAGGAGGAGGGGATGGGCAGGTGGGGGCCTCGAGCCAGGAAGGGCGGTTCTCGCACAGGAGGGTTCGGGGCCCCTGGGAAAGCCGGCGTTTCTCTGTGTAACGGGCGTTCTCTTGGCCGTTGCAGTGCTCGCGCCTCCTGCGCCGCCGCCGCCACCCATCCAAGGATATGCCTTCAAGCCTCCACCTCGACCCGACTTCGGGACTTCCGGGAGAACAATCAAGTTACAGGCCAACTTCTTTGAAATGGACATTCCAAAAATTGACATCTATCATTACGAATTGGATATCAAGCCAGAGAAGTGCCCAAGAAGAGTTAACAGGTATCTTCCCTCGTCCTTGACCTTGACCGATCGGCGTGGGTGACCTGCACACAGACCCACCTAACCCACCCTTCCATTCCCAGCAGGTCCTTCCCCGGAGGGGGGCCTTGGCGTTTACTTTTAGAAAAATGTTTTGTGTGTCATTGTGTCTGGATACAGTCGTCAAGTGTACTGGTCAGTGAGCTTTGACAGATGTGTGTTCGTGCCCATCAGCCTAGCCCGTTGCCTGGTGCCCTCTTCGTCGATTGACCCCAGCGCTAACAGCGGCCAGTGCTCCGCGTCCGTTTGTTCCCTGCCCCGTGAGAGCACCTCCCCCGAGCTGCTCCCTTGACTCCGCCTGATGTTTTGGAGATTGACCTGCATTGCTGTGTATTAATAGCTCCTTATTTTTACTGCTGAGCAATATTTTGTGATATGAATATTTCATAATTTCTTTATTCATTTTCTTGCTGGATGCTGGGGCTGTCTAGGCTTTGCCACGATGAACATTGTCTTTCCAGTCTTTTCTGGATGTACATTTTCATTTGTCTGAGATAAAATACCCAGGAGAGAAATTGCTGGATCACAGGGTAGGTGTAGCCTTAGCTGCATGAGACACTGGCAGAGTGGTTGAGCCGCCGCATTCTCCCACCAGTGCCCACCTCCTCTCAGCATGGGGGACGGTCAGGCTTTTGGAGTTTTGCATTTCGGTGGTGTCTCGTGGTTTCTCTTTGCCAGTTTTAACTTTCATTTCCCGGTAACTAGTGAGTTGAGCACCTCATCATATTAATTACATTATATTTACACGTTATGTAGCATCATGTAGTATTTCTAATAAAGTGTCTGCTGAAGCCTCTTCCCTGTTTTGTCTCTTTGTTACTGATTTGTAGGAGTTTTTAATAGATTTAAGGTGCAGGTCTGTGTTGGGAGTGTTTGGGCTTATGTATTTATTGAGGCCTGTGATCCATCTCAGACCAATTTTTGTCTGTGATGGGAGGTAAGGGTCTGTTGAAAAGACTTTTCTTTCCCCATCGATTCAACTGGGCACCTTTGGGTGGGGTGGGAATCAATTGATTGTCAGTTGCTGCCAGAAAGCCCTGTAGCAATTTTTATTACGATTGCTTTGAAACTGTAGATAAATTTGGGGAAAGTGGATACTATTGAATCTTCTGCTCCTTACACATGGCCATATTTTCCATTCATACTTTACATCATAGAGGTTTTTCGTTTCGTTTGTTCTAAGTATGCTGTGTCCTTTGCTGTTATTATAAATTGTGTTTTAAGATTTCATTGTCCACGAGGGAAGTTTCTCAGGAGGCAGTGACTCCTGACAAGTATGGGGTTTCTCTTTGGACTGATGACAAGTCTTGCAAACCTAGATTGTGGTGCTCGGAGGGTGACAAAACCCTGTGAATATACTAAGACCATTTAATCGTGCACTTTATAGACGTTAAAAAGGTGGGTTTTTTTGTTGTTGTTGTTATTTTTGAACAACGGTGGTTTTATTTCTTTACAGTTTCTAAAGCATTTTATTTTTTACTTGATCTATTGCAGTGGCTAAAAACTCCAGCGAAAGTAATGGTGAATGTATGTGGCGAACGCAAGCATCTTTGCCTTGTTTCCACTCTTATGGGGGATCGTTCCCTCACCGGTAATATTTTCTATTAGTTGCAGGATTTTCTTTGAGACCCTTTATCAGGCTGAGGGAGTTCCCTCCCTGATCATCACTGGGTGTTGAATTCTGTCAAATGCTTTGTCTGCGTCTTTTGGGGCGATCATATCGTTTTTCTTCCCTTTTTTCCCCCCACCTCCTATTAATAGGTGTATTAATTACATTGATTTTTATGTTAAAGTGGCTTGATTTTCTCACAGTTTGGATGTATTATTTTATATATTTACATATTATTTGCAATATTTACACATTATTCTTATATATTGCAGTGCTTAATTTGTTAGCATTTTGTTGTGAAGTTTTGTGTCTCTGCTCCTGGGATACATGGATGTGTACGTTTCCTGTTAGGTTCTGATAGCGGGGGCACGTGGTGTCGTGAAGTGAGCTGTGATGGGTACCCTCCTCCTCCCAACTCTCAGATGAAAGTCCAAGATTGGTGTAATTTTCCTTCTTAAATGTTTGGCTGAATTTGTCATTGAAATCATTTGGACCTGGAGTTTTCCTCGTACAGTGTAATTGTTTTATTAGGTATCAGGCTGTTCAGGATTTTTAATTTGTGTGTCTGTCTTGGTAATTTGCATCTTTTCAAGGCATCTATCCATTTCATGTAAGTTGTTGAATTTACTGGTGCAACATTTTGCCTAGTGTTTGTTCCTTTCCATGGTGAGAGCCTTGTTCATTCCTGGTATTTTATTTTATTTTTTTAGTATCTGTTTTTAAGAGAGAGAGAGAGAGGAGGAGGGGAGGGGAGGGGAGGGGAGGGGAGGAGAATGCACGCATGCACACGCACACGTTGGGGAGGGGCAGAGAGGGAGAGAGACACAGAACCCAAAGCAGGCTCCAGGCTCTGAGCTGTCAGCACAGAGCCCCACGCAGGGTTCTCAAACCCATGAACCATGAGCTCATGACCTGAACTGAAGTCAACAGCTTAATGGACTGAGCCACCCAGGCGCCCCTCATTCCTGATACTTTGACTTTGTGTTTTTTCTCTTTTGCCTTGACTAGCTTTGCTAGGGTTGTCAGTGATATTCATCTTTTCACAGAAACAACTTTTTACTTTGTTGATTTTTCTCTTTTGTCGAATCCCCTCGCCCCTTTGTTTTCTCTGATCTTTATTATCCTTCTATTCATTCTGAGGTTGGTTCATCACATTTAAATCTTGCCTCATTTCCAATCCGTTTGTTTAAGGCTGTAAATTTCCCTCTGAGCCTGGTTTTAGCTATAGCCCACAAGTTTTGATACATTTTAATTTTAATTCAAAATATTTTCTCATTTCTATTGTGAATTAGTGTCTAATCCCTGGTTTCTTATTGTTTTTAGAGATGTGTTCAATTTCTAACTCTTTGGAGATTTTGTTTTTGATACTCTGTTGATATTGGTTGCTAATTTAATTCCATAAACCATAACCATAAAGTTTAGAGAATGTACTCTGTAAGATGTCAGCCTTTTGGAGTCTATTGGGACTGACTTTATGGCCAAGCATGTGATTTATCTTGTTAAGTGTTTAAGTGTTATACGCTTGAAGAGAATGTGGATCCTGTGGTTGGTGGGTGTTGGGATTTATGAATAGTAGATGGAATTGGTTGATAGCATTACTCCAATTCTTTATATCCATCTCATTGTTTTGTCCAAGTATGGCGTGGGTTTGTCTGTTTCTCCCTTTATTTATTTATTTATTTATTTTTATTTATTTATTTTTCTCCCTTTAGTACTATTTTTTTTTAATATATTTTTTTAATGTTTTATTTATTTCTAAGAGAGAGAGAGAGACAGCGTGAGCAGGGGAGGGTCAGAGAGAGAGGGAGTCACAGACTGAAACAGGCTCCAGGCTCTGAGCTGGCAGTCAACACAGAGCCCGACGCGGGGCTCGAACCCATGAACCGCGAGATCATGACCTAAGCGAAAGTCGGACGCTCAACCGACTAAGCCACCCAGGCGCCCCCCTTTAGTACTATTTTTGTTTCATGTGTTTCAAAGCTCAGTTATTAGGTGTACACATTTTTATAATTTTTTTGTCTCTAAGGGTCAATTGAACCCTTTAGCACTAGGGAGCGTTCTCTGTTTTGGAATGCTTCTTGCTTAAAAAGGCTTTTCTGCCTGATTATTAAGAATCTCATAACCATTCCTAGCCTTACTGTTTAGCTGATGTACATCTTTGTACAAGCTGCACCCTCAGCCTGTGTGTGTTTGTGTTTATGTGTGTGTATCCCAAGTTGTGTCCCTTGTAGATAGCCTTTAATGGGGACTTTATTTTTGGATTTTAAGTGGTATGTTAAGTTTGCTTAAATATAAAGTAAATTTAAATTTAATTTAATTTAATTATCTGTGATTGGATGTAAATCTACCATCTTGCTATTTTTTAAAATTTCTGTATCTGTTTTTGTTTATTTTATTTTCAATGTTTATTTATTTTGAGTGGAGTGGGGCTGAGAGAGTGAGAGCAAGAGCGAGAGCGAGAGCGAGAGCGAGAGAGAGAGAGAGAGAGAGAGAGAAGCCCAAGCAGGCTCCGTGTTGTCAACATAGAGCCCCACATGGAGCTTGATCTCCCGAACCTTGAGATCATGACCTGAGCCGAAATCAAGAGTTGGGTGCTTCACTGACTGAGCCCCCCAGATGATGCCCCATGAGAATTTTATAGGAGTATAATTCTACTTACTCCTCTGTCCTTTTGCTATTGCTGTCATGTGTTTTACTTCTTTATTCATTATAAATCCCATGGTACAATGCTGCTGTTTTAAAGAAATTAAGAAAATGGTCTGTTTGCCCACGTAGGAACTTTACCTGGCTCTGTGGGTTCGTGTTCTCACCTCGCGCCATTCCCTTCCCGCCTGAAGAAAGCCCTTTAGCCTTTCTTGTTGTGCAGACGTGCTCGGGATGGATTCTTCCAGCACCTTTTTGAACTCTGCAAATATGCTCATTTCCTCCTTATTTTTGAAAGATATTTTTGCTGGATATTGAATTCTAAATTGACTCCCCCCCCCCCAACACCTTAAAGTTGTCATTATATACGTGTTTTAATCTTCATTATTTCTGATGAAATTTTGATTTTCAGCAGTTTGAGGTTCCTAATTTTTATTTTCTTTTTCTTTTTCCTTCTTGGTGTTCATTTGAGGTTTTCTGGACTTGTATGCTGATAACTTTCATGAAATTTGGGTGGAATGCTATCATTTCTTAAAATACTTTTTCTGCCCCATTTTCTTCTCTGTGAGATTGCAGTTATGCATATTCTAGGCCATTTTTATATTGTCCCCCAATCACTGAGCCTGTAATTTTTAAAGAAGTCTTTTCCTCCTCTTCCTTCAATTTGGATAACACATTATGTCCTTACCTGCCCTCCCTTTTTTTAGCG